GAAGATAAATTTTAAAGGAAAATTCCTATAAAATAAATTTTCTCCCCTCCTTTTATCATTTTTTACTATATTATTTATGGTTAAACATTGTAATGTGATATTTGTTTAGAAATTATATTTACTTTTATAATTTAAATATTATAAATAAAATTTAATATGCTTTTGTAAATTTTGTGTTGTTGATTTGGGAGTTTATTTTTCTGAGTGAAAGAGTAGAGTATTTTCTTTGGAAATGAAAGGCAGTTGATTGTCTTGGAGTTTTAATCCTGTCTGAGTACCATCCTTTATAAGAATGACATAGAAATATTATCATAGCTATTATTTATTGAGTTTGTGGAACTAGAGTAAGATAAATAATAGTTTAAAGAGGTATGTATTGTTGAAGAATTTTGAATGAATAGGGTCGTGCCATCAGTATTAGGTAAAGGAAAGTTATGAATTAAAGAAGGCTGCTTTGTGACTTGCTGTGGGTAAACTTTAAGTTGGTGTTCATTCATATGATGGAGATTTTGAAAGCAAAGTAATTTAGGGTAACTTTCAGTTATTTAAATAGACCCCTTTTGAGAAGGTATTTCTGTGTAGTGCATATATTTGATAACTGAAGTACTAATGTTTAGTGATTAATTGCATGGATTTCAAAGTGATACTTCAGTCATGTGTGAGCTTCCATAATAGCACACACCACGTTTCTCGCACTCAGCATGTACTTTTATTTTTGCTTTTCCCCTCTTTTTCTCTTTGTTTGGCCCTAGTCCAGTCTGCAGAGATGATTTCTCCCATACTCATTTACCCCTCACTTTTCAAATACGTTTTTTGGCCAGAGAAACTCAAAGTGGTATTTCATTAAGTAATTATCTTGAAGAGGGGAGCAGAAACAAGGACGTTACATATTCTGTCTTCTTTGTGAGAAGAAGTGGATTTATTGAAGAGTTAGAATATCAGGTCTTGATTATTTAAAAGAAGAAACTGTTAAATAAGTTGATGGCCTTGTGAAGGATCACATATCATAGTCAACTACTAAGGAAGGTATTTTGACTCCTTTAAAAAAAAAACAGCAATCAATGCAATATTCTTTCAAATTATAGTCCCTTTCTACTTAAAAAATAAATGTATTTATTTAAATTACATTTTTAAAAAGACAACTAGTGGCCAGGGATGGTGGCATACACCTGTAATCCCAACACTTGAGAGGCTGAGGCAGGAGGATCACCATGACTTCCAGGCCAGCCTGGGCTCCACAGTTAGTTTTAGGCCAGCCTGATCTGCATAGTGAGACCCTGTCTCTCAAAAAACAAAAAAATTGCTTATAAAATCACATTGAATCGTTGAAGCATTTTTTAAGACATGAATTTTCCAGACTTTATTAAAAGCTCTTTTTTTTGGTATTAATTTCAAATGTGTTAATAGCAAATGGGAAAACAGAGTTTGTCTCTTGGTCACTCTGAAAAACAACACTCCCTCTCCATGTATTTTCCTAGCCTCACATCTATTATGTAACTGAACATTTACTTTGTATAAACAGATTCATGCAGAATATACCTTTACATTAATCCAGTGTCAGTGTGGGAATTTAACGATGTTTTAATGAACTTTGGAAGAGCATAGCTATTTTGGTGATTTTTTTGAGCTCCCCCAAAAGGGATCCTTTTGCACTTTTTGGCCATATTTATGCTTCTTCTGTTTTTTAAGACCTGAACAATGGAAGTAGAGATTGTGATAATCTTGAAGAGGGGAGCAGAAACATGGATGTTACATATTCTGACTCAAAAATGGAACCCACTCTGATTTCCAGGAAGACAAAGAAAAGGCTTAGAAGTAATTTACCTGATTCTAGTAATTCTACTTCTTTGGGTGAATCAACAAGACAAACAGTAAGTAGAAGTATTTAGATGTAATAGGAAATAATTTTACGTGTGATGAAAATGAGTTGCTATTCTATCTTTTGTGTTTTTCAGATTTTTTTTGTTTCTTTGCATGCTTTGTTTTTTAAAAAATATGTGTAAAGAACTATTGAAACAAATTCCAAATATTACAAATGAGTAAAAAGACTAAAGTTGCTTTTTCCCTGACATTACTTTTCCTTAGTAGTTTGGTATATGTCCTTCAGACATTTAAAAAAAATTTAACTAAATTAATCATATACTTCTCAGTCACTTGTTATTTTTACTTGCTTTGTATAATTACTATCAGATTTCTTTTATCAGTAGCACTTGACTTACCAAATTCATTAAGCTTATGTTTATCAAGTGAGGGAATTTATTATAAGTAACTTCCATGCTTAATACACATATTACCTATGAGTCATCAGTAACACTAAAACTATAAGGAGACAACTTTTCATCCTTTTGATTCACAAACCATTTTAGGTCTTTGTAGTGCCTTTGTATCATAAATACAAATATGATTTAGACTTATACAATGATAGGTTGAAGGCAGTATTTAATTTTTAATGTTGTTATCCTGCTGAGTTTTATTTATTTATTTTTTTGCTTTTGTTACCAAAGTAATTTGCTACATGACCTCATTACTTTTGAAAAATAAAAATGTTTAAAAAATTCTGTGTCTGAAGTTGACTTAGATCATGGATGAACCACTTGTAAAGATGGCATCTCTCTCTCTGTCTTACTCTGTGAAAAATTGCTTAGGCATCAGGTTGGACAGACCAAATCCTGTATCTTCATACTTGGGGGATATGCCAATTACAACATAGTATAATTGTGTACTTTTCTATCCATATAGTTACAGAAGTGATATAATATTTTATTTTTATATTGTTCTTTAGAAGTTTAAGCCTTTAAAGTACTTTAAAGAAGATAAATTGGAAAAATGCTAATTTTTCTATACATTTATTTATGTTTAGAAAGAACAGGAAAATGAGTCAACAGTTTCCACCAAGTTTGAAAAGTCAAGTAAAAACTATCATCAGGACCCAGCATGGCTTGAAGAAATTACATCTAAACCTATAGAAAGTAATTTTACTAAATTGTCCTCAATTGATAGTCAGGAGTTGGGTTTGAGTGCTGCCTCCAAAAGTGTCTCTGCTTATTCAACCACTGAAACTTTGGGGAGCTCTACTTCCAGTGATACAGTGGAGATTTCTTCTCTGATTGAGAAGGATGAGAATAATTTGAATACAATAGAAAAGCCTCTCCTAAGTGGACACAATGAAGGAAGCCAATCGTTGATCTCAGCTGAACCAAGTAAGTAACAGGAGGATTGTAGAGGCACTTCATTTTCTGTGCTTAGTTTTTTTCCCCTGTCCTCTCAAACAAATTTTACTACAGCAATAAGCTGTTAACAGTATCCCTGTGGAATATGTTAACTTTAAGAAAAATGTCCTGAGGTTTTTGGAATTTCTTTCAGGAAACTTGTAATATCATTCTAGTAAATAAGCGGAGTATTTGCAAGCAGAGTAATCCAGAGTGATCTAGCCAATAGTCAGTCTCTCTCTCTCTCCTATCCATATAACAGTACTGCATATTGACTCTAGAGCTATACTGAGCCACATCCCCAGTCCTTTTTACTTTTTATATTTATTTATTTATTTTTGTTTTTTTGAGACAGGGCCTCACTATGTAGTTGAGACTGACCTGAAACTCACTGTGTAGCCCAGGCTGGTCTCGAACTCACAGTGATCCTCCTGCCCCAGCCTCCCGAGTGTTGGGATTACAGGCATGCGCCACCACACCTGGCTTTTACTTTTTATTTTGAGGCATTGTCTTGCTAAGTTTAGTTGCCCAGAATTTGTGACCCTCCTGCTTCTGCTTAGAGTGCTGGTATAACAGGCATGTACCACCATGCCCAGATTGACTCTGTTTTTAAGATTCTCTAAGGATCATTATTATTGAGATTTGGTTGATGAATCTGTTAAATGTCATGTAATATAATTAATTTTGGTATAGTAAATTCATAGTAAGTTTTTTTGAATATTCTATCACATGGTAAAATGTACTAGTTAGATTTTCATTGCTTGGGCCCAATACCAGATGTATACTGCTTAAAGGAGAAAGTGTTTGTTGAATTATTTTTTAATAATTTATTTAGTTTCTATTTTATTTGCATGTATTTGTGATATGTAATAATTATGTTAACCTTGGGAAATTGGTACATATACAGTGATATTTTAGTTCATGATTTTTGTTTTTGCTTTTGTTTTTTGAAACAGGATCTTGCTATGTAGTTCATACTGGCCTTAAACTCACTATGTAGCTTAACCTGGCCTTGAACTTGTAGCAGTTTTCCTGCCTCTACCTCCTAGGTGCTAGGATTATAGGCATGTGCCATCACATCCAGCATTGGTTCATGATTTTGGAAAAGATGGCCAAGGTTGTATTTGTGTGGGAAAGATGGCTGCAGTCATGTTTGTCACCCAATACTAAGTTAGCAATGAAAAACAAAATTTTGCCAAATGTTTTTGTTTGTGAATAAAATTGTAAACAAAAGCGTTTGTGAATCCAGGTACCACTGTAGATATTGCATTCTAATAATTTCCAATTCCCCTTCTCCCTACCCTCCTGTCTTTCCTCATCCCCAGACCCCTTCTCATCTCCATGAAGTCTGGGCCCTATCTCCTCTGATCTAGGAAGGGTTTATATTTCTTCACAGGGTCAGGGGCATCAGTCTATGCTTGGCTGACTCCAAGGCAGAAACATCATGGCAGAAGGTATGGCAGAGGAAAGTTGCTTAGGTTATGGTGGTTTGGAAATAAAGCAGAGAAACAGAGCCAGAACCAAGTATATACCCCAGGGCACTTCCATGATCTTCTCAGACACACCTAGAAGCATGCTTTACTAACCTACGTAGCTCTCAAGTCAGTCAAGTTGACAGTTAAGTTTAATCCACTCACAAAGGTTCCTAAGGATATACAGCAAGTAATTTTACTTTCCCAGCAATTCATTTCCCTCTTCCAGAAAAGCCTAGCTGGGGATTTAGTTCAGTGTTTCCACCACCTGCCTTGCAAGCACAAGGTCCTGAGTTTGATCCCTGGTACCAAAAAACAAAGTGCCTAAATGTGTCAGGACTTAAAGTGCAATTAAGAGTGATGGTGAAATACATTATTAAAACTAGAAATTATTCTTAAGGTCTTGTCTTAGTTAGCTTTCCATCACTGTGACAAAATACCTGTGATAATTAACTTGTGAAGAGAGAATGTTTATTGTGGCTCACAGGTTTTGTAAATGCTACTCTGAGACTAATTGCTTTCAGCCTTTGGTGTGTACGCCCGATGGCAGTGGCAGCTAGTGCATGGTGAAGCAAACTCCCTTATGAGCCATGGAGCAAAGGCAGTGACTAGACAGGCTAGAGTCACAAGATCCCCTTCAAGGACACATCCCAGTGACTTACCTTTCACTAGGCTTCGCCTCTCAAAGGTTCCACCTCCTCTCAGTAGCACCATCTTGGGGACTCAGCCTTTAACACAGAATCATTGAGGGATATTTAACCTCTAAACTGCAGCAAGTTTCTTTATGGCTTTATCTGTTTTTAAGGTGGTAATCCTTTGAAAGGTGAGGTATTAGGTGATTAATGGATAATAGCACTGATGGGGAAACACAGAGTAGAACTAGTGTAAATCATAATGAGAAACAGGCTAGTTCCTGAATTGAATAGTGGTGATTAAATTAGCATGATTATTAAAGGTACATAGCATTAATTTGAAAGTTTTCTTTTTGATGGTGGTTATTGTGACACATTTAAAATATCTTTTCCGTTTTAGTTGTTGTTTCCAGTGATGAAGAAGGACCCATTGAACAGGAAAGTTCAGGAATTCTTAAATTACAACCTAAACACAACTATGAGATCACTGATGAAAATGAAAATACTTCTGAATCACCCCTGTCAGAACTACCCCTGGTTACCTGTAATTCTGGACAGGTAATTTGTTTCTGCTTTCTCATTGACTGAATGAAATATATTTATTGGTTAGTAACTAGTATTTGTTTTAAAAAGTAGAATATTGTAACCAGTCTATTCTAAGACTTGAATTTTCTTTATCATTCTCATTGGACATATAACTATTTTATCAAAAACTTTCAAGAATTTAAAACAGTTTCTAGTATTCGCCTTGTCTTAGAGTACTGTGGCTGCTTAGAATTGTTCCTTTTACAAATATATCATTAAGGTATTATAATGTGGAAGAAATAACATGGCTTCTGGAGATACACAGTGTGTGTTCAATTCCTGGTTCTGCCATTTGGGTAAATTACTTTGACCTTAGTTTCCTCATGTGTTAGCAGAATAATAGTATCTAATTTATAAGATTATTTGTAATAGTAAAGTGAAATAATTTATGAAAGCAATTGTAGTAGTGTCAGAATCCTACAAAAGTTGGTGAGTCCCTTGTCTTTTCCTTCTTACAGAAAACAGTAATGGAAATGTATCAGTTTAACATCATCTATTCATGTTATTTACAGTATAGCCTTTAGAGACAGTAAGCCTAAAGTAAGATTCAAATAATTTCTTGTCAGTTCGTTTTCATGTTATTAGACTGTTTTTATTTTATTTTTGAGGAAAGATTATTAGTTAACACAGTTGGGGAATTATGTTAAACTTCCATTGGCTTGCATTTGAATAATATCAGAGGCTGTTATTTTGGAATGTGATAAATTTAGTCAGATGTATTGTCCTAGTCACTTTCTCAGTGGTGGAGCACCATTCCTGACATCAGCAAATTAAAGGAGGAATGGCTTATTTTAGCTAATTTTAATAAGCAGATAAATAGTTCTTAGTCCATAGTTGGCCAGCTCCAAGGCAAGAAGGCCTGGTGAAAGTATCTGGTGGAGGAAAGCTGCTCACTTCATGACAGACAGGAAGCAGAGAATTAAGGGAGAAGCAAGGAGTGGAAATAAATCTTTTCAAGCCATACCCACAGTGGCTTGCCTCTTCCAACCAGACCCACCTGGTAACAGGTCACCCATACTGCCTCCGTAATCCATTCTCCTAAACACTGAAGGCTTTGGGCGCTGTTTTAGAGCTAAACCATGACATATAGGAAATTGATTTGATGGTATGATTATTGTTTCATGGATATTTCTTTTGCAGTTGGTACTGGATGCAGTGATCAACTCAGCAACTGTATTCTGAATTTTTACTGAAGTATAACTACCAGCTTGGGTCAATAGCCTATTTAATGGCTTAGACATAATTAAAAGTTGGATTGTTAATAAGTTGAAACTTGTAGCTGAATATGGTTACCTCGGCAGCATATAAATTCACAGTGCAAGTGTAAAATTATTGTGTAGAAAATAGCATCTCATAGAATTTATATAATTTATGATCATAGCAAAGCAGCACAAGGGTTGGGGATTTAGCTCAGTGGCACTGTGCCTGCCTCGCAAGTGCAAGGTCCTAAGTTTGACCCCAGTACCAAAAACAAAAAAACAAACAAACAAGCAAAGCAGTGCAGAAGACCAGTCAGTACATAAAAAGCAGAATCTTATAATACTAGAATACTGCATTTCCGTTACCCCCTTGTTACTAATTTTAAATGAAATTATGAGAAATGTGGATTTGTCATTTTTAAAGACAGTCTTTACAAAATGTGAGGCCTATTGAGAATTTGTTTTTGTACAAACTTCTCATTTTATCACTAAAAAAAAAAATCAGTTTGAGTGGAACTACCTATCTTTGATTTGATTCTCCTTTTTACTTAGTAATGAGAAGGTATATTGTAAGCAATAAAAGAAGAGAATAACAAAGCAGTTCTACTAGGTAGATAAGTAGAATTGTGATCTGGGTTAATTATGATATTATATATGTTTTAGATAGGAGTTGATCACATTTATTAGAAGAGCAGTGAACTCACATATATGATTGGTTTAACAGTAATTCATTAGATCTTTTGTAATAAAAAGGAATAGTGTGGCAGTGACAAGTTGAAAAAATCCCCTGAAAGCAGTATAAAATTCAGAAGAGACTATGGGAGACAGCTGCTAATGTACTGCCTTATTATGTATTATTTAAAAGCAGAATTGCATAGTTATTTCAGAGGAAATGGTATCATATTTGAAATTTTAGGCAAATCTGAGCCATTTCTGGTTGGCTACCTTCAAATGTAGAATCTATAATAAAGCATATAGTTATTATATAACAAGTGCCCTAAGCTGTGTATCCCTTCATTGTTCACTGATAGTGTAATATAGCAAGAGCATTATTTTGGTTGGTGGAAATAACTTTGTGATTGAGTACGTGACATAGAACCCATAGGCTGAGTCTTAGTTTTGATTATTAACTGCATGACCTCAGGCAGGTTACTTAACCAATTCAGTCGTCTAATAAGTTTATTTATAAAATGGGAGGGAAATCCCTCTACATATAAAGTAGTTGTATAGATTAATAATCATACTATTTTTAAGAACTCATTTTAAAAGTGCTATATAAATCTAAATTTATTTCTGTTGAGTTAAAAATGAATAAAGCCAGTTAGGTAATACTGAGTTGGGATACCGTGCCTTTGATGCAGAAGAGGTTATATTTTTGGAATTTAGACCTATGAAATTAATTTTGGATTTGATTTTTTCTCAAGATAAATCATATACCTTTTCAGAAAAAAAAATTTAGATAACTATTTCTTCACATTAAGATCAATGTAAAATTCTTCACAGATTTGTTAATAATAATTTAAAGAATTTGACCTGGTAAATAATTTTCAGCATTTATACAATACTTAGGGTTATATGCATTTTTTAATTTATTCTTTGTTAGACATCATCTGAATTATGTCCATATAATCCTGTTATGGAAAACATTTCCTGTATTGTACCTAATAATGAGGTGGATCTGCATCTGGATTTTATATTTACTTCTGTGTACATTGGTAAAATAAAAGGAACTTCTAAAGGTTCTATAACAGTAAGTATTTTTTTTCTTTTTTTAGAATTTTGGATCTAAGACATTCAATTTTGTGTGTGTGTGTGTGTGTGTGTGTGTGTACATGAAAATACTTGAGATTACTTTTACACAGAACACTTAAGATATGTTGAAAGTTGTTATACCTAATTTGCAATGTGTCTTTCATTTCCTTATTCTGAAATCTTAAATTACTGCTCAGTGATCTATGTTACTCAATCAAGTCTTTTTATTTGCCACTTGGAAAAAACCCTTGACTTGAGGACGAAAAGTTGGGACAAGGAACAAGGTATATTTGGAAAGCTAGTAGACCGAAGAAGGGAGTCATTTGCCAACAAAGACCACCTTAGGGAATTTAGGGCAATAGAGGGTCTTTATAAAGAAATTAAGGCAGCAGGGGAGGCAAAGGACAGGGAGATGTGGTTTGAGCAGGGTCTTCATCCAGGGCAGTGGATGCAAACCTAAGGCCCATCTGTGTCTTAATTACTTTTTTCATTGCTGAGACAAAATACTGGAAACCCAAAGTTAAAGGAAGAAAGGTTTATTTACCTCACAGTTTGTAGAGGTTTCAGTTCATAGTTGGTTGGCTCCGAGGCAGGGTGGCATGGCAAGGGGAATCAGAGTGGACAAACAGTCCATGGCATGGCAGAAGGCAGCAAGCAAGCAGGATGCAGCAGAAGAAAGGCAGCAGCAGCAGCAGAAGAAGAAGACAAGTGACACATTAGCCCTCTTTCTGTCCCTTATATTTTTGTCCAGACCACCTATAATCCTTCCCATTATCATACCCAGAACTATGGTAAATCAATCAGTGGACTAGTTTAGTAATCACACTCTCTTAATACCAGCATCTTACACTACAGATCCTGCTGCCTCTGAGAAAGCCCCACCCATGACTGCTTGAGGTTTTCGGCAGAACATCTAGATATAAACCATAACGGCATGTTATTTTTTTTCTTTTAAGACAAAAGATGTTAATGTAGAGTTGTTTTTTTCTAAATTAAAACCGCAGTATTCAGATTTAAGTGCAGTGTTGGCACTTTGTGATAAGTGGGTTTTGGGTTGAAGTTTGGCACTTGATCTCTGAAAGATTTGCCATCACTGATCCAGGCCTTGTGTTTTCTTTTGTCTTCTGGTATATTATCCTTGAGATCTCAATTGACTTTTGTCTCCTATGCCAGTACATGTAATTCTTCAGATAAAAAGTATTTTCCTGTGTGTTAAATCTCATTTCATGTTTAAAGAATAAGATTAGCAAATTCTTGATCCAAACTTTGATGTTATCAGAAGACCATCAGATATCCTAGGTTCTCTAAATCTTTAGTTTCATTGCTCATGTCTTTTTAGTTCTTTTTCCCAGGAGTAGCTAGCCTTGTAGTTAACCCTTAATGATGAAAAAGGCAAGTCTGTCATGGTGATGCATGCCTATAATCCCAGCACTCAGAAGCTGAGATAGGATTGCTAAATTTAAGAGTAGCCTGGGAAATTTAGTGATTTAGAGAGACCCTTTCTCATAAAAATGAGCTGGGGATGTAGCTCATTATGAGGACCTTGGGTTCAATCCCTAGTAATATAAAGGAAAAACATCAACAATAAGAACAATAAAAATGATGTAAAAGGCATCTTTGGAAGACAGGAGCAAAAGACAAGTTTTATTTTAATTCTTATGGAGCTTCAGTCAAAGGAGTCATTTACAGTTATATATTGTGCAACTGTGCGATCTCCAAAATTAGTGATTTTTCAAGTCAACTAAAAGCAAGCAAAGCCAGAAGTTTTATTTAGGTTTTGTCTCAGTTGAGCTATTCTAATGAAAAAGCGTGTGGAAAACAAATCAGATGTAATCTTGATATTACTTTTTCATCCATCTTTTTTCTTCTTTTTCCCTTTTCTTTCCCCCCATCTTTTTTTCCCTATCCCATTTGAATGTGTTCCTCCTACTTATGAATATTTATCCTCCATTATGCTTCTTATTTACACTGTGGGTTCCTCACACAAGAGAAACATTGCAATATTTAAACTTGTGTATCTGACTTGTTTCAGACTGTGGTATGGAGATGTATCTATTTTCAAGTTTATCTTTCTTTATGGCAGTGTACTACTCCATTGTATATATTATGTGTGTGTGTGTGTTTGTGTGTTTTGTACTGGGGATCGAAGTAGGGTCCTTGTGCTTGCAAGGCAGGCAGCGGAACCTCTGAGCTAAATCTCCAGCCATTGTATGTAAATAACATATTTTCTTTATTCATTTACCTTTTGATGGACATAAGAGATGTTTTCAAGATTTAGCTGTTATAAATTGTGCTTCTATAACCATTAGTGTGCACATGTCATTGTGGTATGCTTTTCACTCTTTTGGGAAGATATCTAAAAGGGTAATAGCTGGGTCAAATGTAACCGCTAGTTTTAGTTTTTGGAGGGATCTCCATACTTATTTCCATAGTGGTTGTACCAATTTACACTCTTACTAGCAATGGGGAAGGTATTTTTTTCCCCACAGCCTCAGCAGCATTTGTTATTGGTTGATTTCTTGATGATAGCTATTGTTTCTGAAGTGAGATGAAATCTAAGTGTTGCTTTAATTTGAATTTCTTGAATGACCAGTGATGTTGGGCATTTTTTCATATATTTATTTGCTGTTTGTACTTCTTCATTTGAGAAGTGTGTATTCATTTCAGATGCCCATTTTGGGACTGGGTATTTAAATGGGGGGCCTGATTTTTTGAGTTATTTGTTCTAGATGTTAGTCTTTTGGGTTTGTTTTGTTTTGCTTTTTTTTGAGACAGGGTCTCACTATATAGTTGAAACGGACGTGGAACTCGCTCTGTAGCCCAGGCTGGTCTCGAACTTACAGCGATCCTCCTGCTTCAGCCTCCCAAGTGCTGGGATTACAGGCGTGCACCACCATGCCTGGCTAGATGTTAGTCTTTTGTCTGAGAAGCAGTCAGATAAAAAATCCCCCTCTCATGTATTGTCTCTTTACTCTGTTGGTGGTCTCTTTCGTTGTGCAAAAGCTTTTTAATTTGATGTGATCACAGTTATTGGTTCTTTGTAATTCCTTCTAGTGATTGGAGTTTTGTTCATCAGGTCTTTGCCTACACCTATGATTTCAAGAGTTTTACCTATTCTATCTTCCAGCAGATTTAGTGTTTCTGTTTTAATATTTAGATCTTTGATCCATTTCAATTTTAATTTAATCCGTAGTGAGAGATATGGGTCTAGGATTAATCTTTGGCATATAGAAAGCCAGTTTTCCCAGCACCATTTATTAAAGAGCTATGTTTCTTATGGTGAATGTGTTTGGTTCCTTTGTTAAAGATGAGGTAGCTGAGTGTACTTGGAGTTGTTTCTTCACCTTCTGTTCTGTTCCATTGATCCTCAGGTCATTGTTTTGACCTATACCATGCTGTTTTGCTTTGCTTTTGTTTGTTTTATTTTTAATCACAGTAGCTTTGTAATATAGCTTGAAGTCAGGGATTGTGATGCACCCTGCATTGCATTTGTTACTCAGAATTGATTTTGCTAGTCTAGTTCTCTTCTGGTTCCAAATGAATTTTAATCATTTTTCTCTAGTTCTGTGAGGTATGCTAATGGTATTGTGGTCGAGATTGCATTAAATCTGTATAACAGGTTTGGAAGTATGGCCATGTTTACTATGTTGGTTCTGCCTATCCAGGAATGAAGGATATCTTTCCATTTTCTGATATCCTCTTTGATCTCCTTTTTGAGAGTACTGTTACTTTTCTACGTATAGGCCTTTCACTTCTGTTAGATTGATTTGTATTTCATTTTTCTTGATGCTATTGTGAAAGGTGTTGTGTCTCTAATTTCTCTGTCAGTGAATTTGCTATTTATGCACAGGAATGCTGTTGATTTTTGAGTGTTGACTTTGTATACTGCTATGCTGTCAAATTAGGATATTCATTCTAGGAGTAGTTTTGGTGTCTTCTGATTAGAGTATCATGTCACCCACAAATAATGATAATTTAACTTCTTTCTTTTTTACCTGTACTTCTTTTATTTCTTTCTCTTGTCTGATTGCTCTGGCTAATGATTCCAGAGCTATAGTGAACAAGAGTGGTGGTAGTGGGCATCATTGTCTTGTTCCTGATTTTAGAGTGAAGGATTTCAGTTTTTGACCATTTAGTATGATGTTGGTGGCTTGTTTGTCATAGATGGCTTTTATTATATTGAAATAAAGACCTTCTATTCCAATTTTCTGTAGTTTTATTTTATCATAAATGGTTGTTGGGCTTTGTCAAATGCATTTTCTCCTCTATTGAGATGATCATATGGTTTTTGTCCTTGGTTCTTTTAATGGTGTATTACATTTCTTGATTTGCATACATTGAACAATCCCTGCATCCCTGAGATGAAGCCTACTTGGTCATAGTGTATAAACTTCTTGATAATTTGCTATATTCTGTTTGCTAGTATCATTTTGAAGACTTTTGAATCAATGTCCATTAAGGAGATTGGCCTGTAGTTCTCTTTTTTGGTTGGATTCATCTCTGGTTTTGATATCAGGGTAGTGCTTGCTTCCAGGAATTAATTTGGGAGCATTGCTTCCCTTTCCATTTCATTAAAGAGTGTGAAGAGTAGTGTCATTGGATTTTCTCTACTTATAGAATTCAGTTGAGCATCTGTCAGGATCTGGGCTTTTCTTTCTTGGCAGTTTTTTGGTTACTTCTTCAATTTCATTGGCTAATATTGGGTCATTTAGATTTTTTTTTTTTGGTACTGGGAATCAAACTCCGAACCTGCGCTTGAAAGGCAGGCGGTGCACCCCTGAGCTAAATCCCCAGCCCATTTAGAATTTTTATATCTTCTTGATTTCAGCTTTTTTTTGAACCTCCAAAAGTGTATCCTCTTTAATGTCTTAAATGTTATTGAGAAATGAGTGCTACACAACAGAGACATAACTAATGATACACATTACTTGACTGATTCAGCTTTGTTAATTCATATGTATCCAGAAATCTGTCTATTTCTTACTTTTCTATCTTATT